AAGTGAGCACATACTATGTGCATCCATCCGCCTCTTAGGAATCTCCGCGGAGGGCAAACCTTGGAGCGGCGAAAAGAAACCCAAGACCTTCACCGCTGAGCCGCAAACAGGGTTCTGATGGTGATTATGAGTGAGTGTGTGCACGCGCGCGCGCGTGTGTGTGTGTGTGTGTGCGCGTCCATGTGTTCACGTGAGCATTCCAGGCATGTGTTTGTATGTGTACGGACGCTCCTCTGGGCTGAAGATTGCATGCACGCTCACAGCTTGTGTGTACAAACATACAAGTGTGTGAGGGAGAGACAGAGAGATAGGGAGAGAGAGCTACACACACACACACACACACAGAGAAAGACAAAGAGAGGCAGAGAGAGGGAGGCAGAGAGCATGTGTGAGAGAGAGAGAGAGAGACAGAGACAGAAAGGGGGAAGAGAGTGAAACGCACAGAGAGGGATACAGAGAGAACAATGTGTGTGTATGTGAGAGAGAGAGAGAGAAACCGAGGGAGGGAGAGAGAGTTTGTGTGTGTGTGTGTGTGAGAGAGAGAGAGAGAGAGAGACGTACAGAGTGACTGTGTGTGTGAGAGAGAGACAGGGAGAGACAGAGAGAAAGAGAGTATGTCTGTGTGAGAGAGAGACACAGAGACACAGACAGAGGGACAGAGAGAGAGGAGAGAGAGATACGAGGGTCTGTGTTTGAGAGAGACAGAGAGTGTGTGTCTGTGTGTCTGTGTGTGGGAGAGAGGCAGAGAAACAGAGAGAGTATGTGTGTGTGTGTGACAGAGAGAGACATACACAGAGACACACAGAGAGGAACAGAGAAAGTGTGTGTATGTGAGAGAGAGAGAGAGAGCATCAGAGAGGGAGAGACAGAGAGATAGAGAGGGAGTATGTGTGTGTGTGTGAGAGAGAGACAGAAAGAGGCAGAGAGAGGGTCAGTGTGTGTGTGTGTGTGTGTGTGTGTGTGTGTGTGTGTGTGGAGACAGAGAGAGAGAGATGGCATGTGAGTGAGAGAGACAGAGAGGGAGAGGGAGAGTGTGTGTGTCTGTGAGAGAGATACACAGAGACAGAGAGAGGGACAGAGTGTGTGTGTCTATGTGTGTGAGACAGAGACAGAAGGCATGTGTGTGAGAGAGACAAAGAGGCAGAGAAAGTGTGTGTGTGCGTGAGAGAGAGACAGAGATAGGGAGAGAGAGAGTGTGTGTGTGTGAGAGAGAGAGAGCAACAGAGATGGAGAGACAGAGAGACGGAGAGGGAGAGAAAGAGAGAGAGAGAATGTGTGTGAGAGACATACACAGAGACACAGAGAGAGGAACAGAGAAAGTGTATATATGTATGTGAGAGAGAGAAGAGAGGGAGAGAGACAGAGAGATAGAGAGGGAGTGTGTGTGTGTGAGAGAGAGAGACAGACACAGAGAGAGATAGACGGCATGTGAGTGAGAGAGACAGAGATTGTGTGTGTGTGTGTGAGAGAGAGACAGAGACAGAGATAGATGGCATGTGTGTGAGAGAGACATAGAGGGAGATGGAGTGTGTGTGTGTGTGTGTGTGTGTGTGTGTGAGGGAGAGAGCAACAGAGAGGGAGAGAGACAGAGATAGAGAGAAAGAGAGTGTGTGTGTGAGAGAGAGACAAAGAGATAGAGAACAAGATTGTGTGTCTGTGTGAGAGAGATACACAGAGACAGAGAGAGGGAGAGTGTGTGTGTGTGTGAGAGAGAGAGAGAGAGAGAGACACGTACAGAGTGACTGTGTGTGTGAGAGAGAGACAGGGAGAGACAGAGAGAAAGAGAGTATGTCTGTGTGAGAGAGAGACACAGAGACACAGACAGAGGGACAGAGAGAGAGGAGAGAGAGATACGAGGGTCTGTGTTTGAGAGAGACAGAGAGTGTGTGTCTGTGTGTCTGTGTGTGGGAGAGAGGCAGAGAAACAGAGAGAGTATGTGTGTGTGTGTGTGACAGAGAGAGACATACACAGAGACACAGAGAGAGGAACAGAGAAAGTGTGTGTATGTCAGAGAGAGAGCATCAGAGAGGGAGAGAGACAGAGAGATAGAGAGGGAGTATGTGTGTGTGTGTGAGAGAGAGAGACAGAAAGAGGCAGAGAGAGGGTCAGAGTGTGTGTGTGTGTGTGTGTGTGTGTGGAGACAGAGAGAGAGAGAGACAGAGAGATGGCATGTGAGTGAGAGAGACGGAGAGGGAGAGGGAGAGTGTGTGTGTCTGTGAGAGAGATACACAGAGACAGAGAGAGGGACAGAGTGTGTGTGTGTGTATGTGTGTGAGACAGAGACAGAAGGCATGTGTGTGAGAGAGACAAAGAGGCAGAGAAAGTGTGTGTGTGCGTGAGAGAGAGAGAGACAGAGATAGGGAGAGAGAGAGTGTGTGTGAGAGAGAGAGAGCAACAGAGAGACAGAGAGACGGAGAGGGAGAGAAAGAGAGAGAGAGAGAGAATGTGTGTGAGAGACATACACAGAGACACAGAGAGAGGAACAGAGAAAGTGTATATA